TAACGATATTACAAATAATAATTAACAACAGTTACGACGAGAGACTACAGATACACTAAAGCGAAATTATCTGATAATACTGATAATACATCTGATAATACTGAAGCCTGAAGCCTAATACTGTCTCGCTTCGTTTTTGACTCCGTAGCGCCCACGAACAGGACAACAGCCATTAGTATCACCCAACTAGTGGACTAATGCAAATCCTGCATTTTGATTGGCTACGCTACTAGGGGACTATTAGTAATAGTCATCGAGTAGCGAAATTGGCGCCATCGAGCGTGACGCTTTCTTTCGTTTTATTCCCAAATAAATATTTTTTCAACTTGCTTTTGTTAACTTTATTATTACCTTTTCTGTCCGTCTAGTTGGATGATACTAAAACAATTAGACCCTTCGTCCTCAAGGGCCACGGGCCAAAAGCCCATTCGGTTTCGCCGGCGGGAGTGTGCAGCCCACTTCCCAAAACCCTCACCCTATTTATGACCAAAATCTGCGATACTCCCTGCCCTATTTAAGACCTGACCATAAATTCGAAACCCTATTTATGACGTGACCCTTAAATCAAAACCCTGTTTCAGACCTGCGTTGCAATTAGTTCTCTAGTTCAGACCAATGTTAAATTACCGTAAACATAATTGGTGAAAAGCTTTTGTTGATTTTCTTTTCGATAATGACGAAAACGTGGCTTCTTCTTAAAAAATACCCATATCATAGCTAGAGTGCAAAAACCATACCCTATTTATGACCAAAACGGGTGAAAAACCATAGCCTTTGGGGCCGCACATACCTATATAGCCCATGTAAGGGGGTACCCCCCCCCCAGGTCGCTAAGATACACGATTTATGTACGTGTTTACTTTATTTTGAATTTCGGGTTCAGTATAACCTGTCAAATATGGCTGAAATATAGCAAGTTGTTTTATAAAGCCTTTATGCGAATACAGTGGTGTATGCTAAATTAAAGCAACTTCTTGAACTTTTAGAGCAACCTTTGTCATTTTTGGGCAACTTTTGAACAATTTTTGGCCCCGTTTTTGAGCTAATTTTTCAACCTTTTTTATGCCTGCTTGTAGTACCTATCGTATTTGAGAATTAATAAAAAGCCAGAATTTCTCAAAGTTATGGAACATTCTGTTTCAAACCAAGACCCTGTAGACGTCCGCTTGTTCAAACGAAAATTCACAAATTATACGACCTGTGAGGCACCTAGTACCGCTAATCATGTTTTTAGAAAAGACCAGCCGGCTTTTGTTTGTAATTTAAAACGTGGGCTTTTGAGTCCAGAACAAAGACTTTTCCAGTCAGATTCCATGAAACATGAGAGAGGCAGGGTTGTCTTTTTCAATAGTGGCTAATTATGTTATTGTGTTGCTAGCGTGTTTTCCTGATCATGAATGAGTATTAATTAGCCATGCGTATAGACACGGCAAATTGTTTCCGATTCTGTTAGTTACCTCTACCTGGCTTTTTGAGTCTTTCTGTCCGAGCTTTTTCGATTTTGTGGAAAAGCAGAATTGTTCAGGTAAAAAAAAAAGTCATGTGTTTTTGACCAAAGTTTGTTTGAAAATTTGGCCTGTTTTGTGTTCTGGCTCAATCTCGCGTCCTTGTCAGTTTCTTTCTTTTGTTGTAACAACAATTATTACTTTTTTTATCTACTGACAGAATACCTTTCTTTGCTCTGGCGTTTTTGTTTTGTTCTTGCTTTGTTTTTCGTCGGAGGAATGTGTTTTCATTCGCGCATACCATCAAAAGAACTGGAACAATAGCACTAATTACAAAGTTTCGTGCTCGAATTTTACACTCGTTCTTCTTTTATCTGTAATCTTGAGAGCTTCTCTTATGCGTCTAAATATTTTTCAGATGAATTGCTCTTTCTTGTTTTAGTGAAGTGAAGGTTCGAAAATACGGAAATTCCAAACTGGTCGCTCAGCCCCTGGAGTTATTGCACAATTTATCTGTATCGTGATGCAATGACGTCAATAAGACTATCCCCCCTCTGGGCACTCTGAATAAAACCTTCACCACGCATGAGACCGGCCTCTTTTACTCGTAGGCTCTCAGTGAGGCGAAGGTATGTGCGATTGTGGTTGTTTCATCGGGTTAGATCTTGCTTAGTTTGTTGCCATCGGAACATATTTCTTTATTAGAACAGTTCGATATTTGTGGCACTTCATTTATATGTGGTTAGTTCAAGGTTTTACTTATGTTTTAACGCGAAAAATGTCAAGGGTGCGTAAGCAATCAGTTCAATCTTATGGCGTCTTATCCCCGATTTTTCGGTTGCGTTTGTGGCCTTCTAGGCTCACAGCATCAAGCAAAAGAACACAACCATTTTCTGAACGTATTCGTTTTGTTTTTCTTCATGGTACAGTAATCTGAAATGCGGTAATGTAGAATTGAAAGTCGATTTCTTTCGAAAGGTCCGCAAAAGAGTTCAGCACGTGATGTTGGGATTGTAAGATTTTCAGAGAAATTTTCAGAGAAAGTGGTTACGCTACCCTTGATAGGAGAAAAATATGTTGCAACTTAACACTGTTGAATGATTCCTTGAATTCTTCCTTTGTGAGTAAACCATGCTGAACTGGCTTTTCTATAACAGGAACATCTCGTCGAACAAGAATAAGAATTTTCAGCGGAAACAATGCCAAAGGAAAAGATTCATATCAACATCGTCGTCATCGGCCACGTAGACTCTGGCAAGTCCACCACAACTGGCCATTTGATCTACAAATGCGGCGGAATCGACAAACGAACCATCGAAAAGTACGAGAAGGAGGCCCAAGAGGTAAGCTAAGAGTGGTGGTGTTCAATGTTTCGCTCGCCAGCGACTTTGGTGTTCATTGCCGAACAATCGAACATTCTCTTAAATTTTCTCTTTCATTCCCCGGACTGTGATCGATTTTTCTACCGTAGTATTGTTTTGAATAGGGAAACTGATAATTTATGATCCAGTTCAAGAAGCAACTTATGAACTGACAAATGTTCCCCCTTAAACAGAAAAAAGAAGTTAAGAGTGAACATGGAAGGTTTGAAGGGGGAGAGGGTTAGAGTGGGTTGTGGTGGGTGAAGGCAACTGATGCCGCTGTACCAGCATACCTGTGGTAATCCAGATTATGGTGCAGCCTCTGTTTGGTCCATTTAAATGCACGAACAATGGGCTTTAATGTGCTCTCCTGTCCAGGGACAGAAAAGCTAGTTAACCCTGGGTCACACAGAAAGAAATTTTTGCACATAAAATAGCACAGAGTAAAAATGGGTATCCCTATTGCTTGGATGCAAATCCATAACAGGGCTAGCTCCAACATTGAATTCTGTTACCTATTCAGGGCATACCCTATGCAGGGCACCATTTCTTCCCAGGGACAAAGAGTTTCTCCTTATTTTTGTTGGGGAGCCCTTTGTAGAAACAGGAGTTGAGGACTTAGAGGAGCTTGGTTGTGGTTTGCACATTTTGAAAAGTTCTGCCTAAATTTTTCAAATTCATTGTTTGCAATCCGTGTCAATCTTCGCCATCCTTGACCATCCGTGTTCCTTAATGGTTTGTTATTATCTCTTCGATGTTTTCTATCTTAGCAAACTAGTATTTTCAGGTTTCTGTCCATTTAAGGGAGATTTTGTACGTGGCCAAAAAGAGACAAAACACCCTGACTGAGCTCCTTTAACAAAACTACTAGAACTGACATTTTTATTTTCCTCTTGTTGTTAGATGGGAAAAGGTTCATTCAAGTATGCTTGGGTGTTGGACAAGCTCAAGGCTGAACGTGAGCGTGGTATCACTATTGACATTGCCCTCTGGAAATTCGAGACTGAGAAGTACTATGTTACTGTCATTGATGCCCCAGGACATCGTGACTTTATCAAGAACATGATCACTGGAACATCACAGGTAAGACCTCTATGCTGTTATGAATGAACACTGCACTCAAATGGTAATGCATGTTTGAGTTGTATAATGTTAAGAAAGAAACAAACTGCAGAAAGTTTCACGTTGTAACATTCATTGCAGCCAAATGATTGAGGAAACAATATTTGGAACATAACATAACTGAGTAGGGGTCTGCTCTGTTGGTGTATCTTGGTACACCAATATAGCGGTTATAGAGGTCTACTAGAAGTGAAACAAATTTGCTGCAAACGACAGTAGTATTGTAATACTAACTGCGCATTTTGATAACATGTAACCTTGGCAGTTCAAGGTCTTTCTGATGATTGCCTCTTTGGCTGGTGTTGGGCATAATTAGGATGGTAATCTACAAACCTTGAAAAACAGAAACAAAGAAAATGGAGCAAAGTCTGTGAATCACAACCCTTAAATGTGCCATTGTAAACCCATTGAAATACCCTGTTTCCAGAAAGGTCTGCTAAGATGGTTGATTTCCATTGTATAGAATATTAATGGCATATGAATCAGGGTTCTCATTAAGTACCAGTTGCTGGCTAAAATACTGGCGTCTTCAATTTCTGTGCTGCCTACTTTTTGTGAAATGAAACATCTGTGAGTTGTTAGGTTTAATTTAAGGAGAACACAGGCTTTTTGATTTGTGGCTGAACCTTGACTGTCCTTGTCTCAGGACAGTTCAGGCAGGGAATGGGTCAATTCAGAGCCTCCAAATTTCAAAATTTTATGAGGAGCATAACCCCAGACCTCCTTAGAGGCTTGCCCACTCGGCACTCTAATCAGTGTCCGTCGTCGTCTTTGTGAAACTAGCCCTCTACTCCCAAAACTAATTTGTTGCTCAAATCTATATTCAGGCTGACTGTGGCGTGTTGATTGTTGCTGCTGGCACCGGTGAGTTCGAGGCTGGAATCTCCAAAAATGGCCAAACGCGTGAGCATGCTCTGTTAGCTTATACTTTGGGAGTGAAGCAGCTTATTGTTGGTGTTAACAAGATGGACAGTACCGAGCCTAATTACAGTGAAGCCCGTTTTAAGGAAATTGAGAAGGAAGTTTCACAATACGTCAAGAAAGTTGGCTACAACCCAAAGGCCGTTGCCTTTGTTCCCATTTCTGGTTGGCATGGAGATAACATGCTGGAGCCAAGTGAAAAGGTATGCAATTTAGCAGATCACACATCAAGATCTGTTTGTATGACAGAAGACCAGCATAAAGCAGGTTTTATTTTTTTGTTTATAACTTTGTATTTCAGTGCCGTCTATGGTTATTCTCTGTCTGTACTCAGAAGCAAGCATTAGTCAAAGAACAATTTTTACTGAAAAACACATGTAACTAATACCTAATACCCGGTAAACTAATATTCAGAGTGTGTTTATTTAAATTGATCTTCTGTTTACATGGTGCATGTCCCATGAACTGGCAGACACCGTGTGCATGGACCTTGAAACTCATGTGAAATGGTCTTAATTCGCAGTGTTCTGGCAGTTGGCCACATTGGTTGGAAAAATTGGTGCATGTACTGGAGTTTGGTGACTCATCAGCATAGCTAAGGCCCAGGTCAAATTTCTAACTTCGCATGAAATGAATCATATTGCAACTTGAGTTGGTCCAAACGGGTAAAGCTCAATTTATGGGTCAAACGTTGAACTTAATTTGAATTTAGATCGGCCAACAGTCGTGTAAATATTTTAGTTCTAACTTGTGAGTCTACAGAAAATGGTACTGTCGTGCAACAAATCATAAGCTCACAGAGGGGACCATAAAACAAGTTTAGTAACCAAAATCACAGGGATATAGTGGACTTAGTCATTGTTATATCTCAAACTCTAAGATTTCATTTTTCATTGGTAACACTTTTTGGATTCCGTGTCCAGCAATAGTGGGAAACGATTTTTAATGAAAAATTTTTTTTTTCAAAATTTCATGCTTGATTTGGACCCAAATAAAAGTAAACAAAATAATATTAGAGAAAAGAGAAAGTAACCGTCTCAAAATCAGTACAAAATTACCTCTTTCTGAATGTTTTTTAATTATACAAAGTCAACTTTTGGATGTGTTCTTTGCAGTCACCAGTGGATGCCATGTAAACTAATGATTGCTAGGTTGAAAACCAACAGTTGCAGTGTTTCTATATCAGCCATTTGTCCGCCATCACAAGTCTGCCATCCTAAATCCACCCCAACCAGCATTGCACATACTGTGCGATGCACTTTGGGATTGTTACCAGATGGTGAACTGGTGACCTAAAAAAACAATATAGTTTCATGCATAATCATAGTGCTATAATCAAAGGAACTACTCGAATTGTTGATAAATAGAACAGAAAAAACTTGTCAAATGAATTTTGATTGGCAAGGCTGAAGATGTCCAAGGCAAACAATTTTTTGGTTTCATTATTTCTGAATTATGGTAACAACACTTTACCAGAAATGATTGTTACTGTAAGATCCTAGGACTTGATATCTGTCTGTAAAACTTTGGTTGTTCATAATAGAAATGCTGACTTCAGTAATGTGCAGGAGTGAAAAGTCGTCTAATAAAATCATTCAAACTGTGAAGTGAATGCATCAAATACACTCATAATCTTTGATTTTTGCTAGTCCTAAATAAGAACCTGTTCAATCAGGTCTTTCTGGTCCTCTCTCAGTATTTTTCAGTTTTATTAATATATGTGCCTTTATTTATAGATGCCCTGGTACAAGGGATGGAGTATTGAGAGAAAGGATGGAAATGCTTCTGGGAAAACACTCTTCAATGCCCTGGATTCCATTCTTCCTCCAAAGCGTCCAACAGACAAGCCTTTGCGATTGCCATTGCAGGATGTTTACAAGATCGGAGGTAAGCTAATCGTTCTACATAATCACTCATGGAAACCTCTTGGATATGGTAAAGTTCTTGAAGTACTACAATTATCAGTTGAGTAACAGGAGAAGTAGCTTTGGTGACAATGTTTTGGACTTAAAATTATGGTGTTGCCACAGGCAACTTTCCTTGTTTCCAATGGTAACAATATCTTTCCCTGCAATTTCCCACGCTTTGCTGCCAGTGACATCAAAGGCCAACAAGGTGCAGCACAAGTTGAATGTTATAACCTGGTCACCAAACTTACCGTGAACACTGGCAGATAAGCTGCACCTTTTTACATGGGTAAATACGGTATATAATACAGAGGAGTGGATAGTGTTTATATTATCTCGTCGCAAGAAGTTACCAGTCTATTGTTCTCAGTTAACGTTTTGATTGGTTAGTTTTCCTCAAGGTGGCCTGTTTTGAGTAGTTGCTCTTTAAATATGAGAATATTAATTAAAAGTTTGCCTTATTTGACTTAATGCAGGTATTGGAACTGTGCCTGTTGGTAGAGTGGAAACTGGGATCTTGAAACCAGGAATGGTTGTCACTTTTTCTCCTGCACAACTCACAACTGAGGTCAAATCTGTTGAAATGCACCATGAAGCTCTTGTAGAAGCCCTGCCTGGAGACAATGTTGGATTCAATGTTAAGAACGTTTCAGTAAAGGAAATCAAACGTGGCATGGTTGCTGGAGACAGCAAAAATGATCCACCAAAGCAAGCCAAGAATTTTAAAGCACAGGTAGGAATTGTTCTTCTATTACTTCTTACTCTTCAGTGGTGTTATTCCCAGTGAAAGTTAACCAAGTGTTTTCTGACTTCAGTTCTTGTTTAGCATAACACAAATTGGGAAAAATCCAGTTAAATCTTGATAGTCCATTAATGGATATCCTTTGGACCAGTTACAAGGAAGTGTTTTGGGTCATCATATTTTTAGGTTCATTACAACTTAAGGTTACTTAAACCATGAACACTCCATATTTTTGATGCATTTTTTGATAACGATAACAAAGGAAGGAGACCTCTTGGTGTGTACATGCAAATTTGTTCAGATGAAGAGGCCTCATTCTGTAGGCAGCGAAACAATCTACATAAAAATGCCAAGTGTTAATGATGTAAGTTTCCATGGTAATAAAGTTGTCTGAGCCTGGTTGTCCTCCAGTCAAGGCTTAATTAAGTTTTGATTCACCTGTAACAAGTGTGCTACTTTATGGGTGAATTGTTTCAACTTTGGGCAAGTTCTTCTGCAACATCAAGGGTCCATTGACATACTTGGTCATATCCAGTGTTCTGGGCTACAGCCCTTATTGACAGCCCTGCTAGTGAATGTCCTCCCCCCCAGTTTTAAAAAGGCTACATTAACAGGGCTAGATCACAGTGTTTTAGGCAATTCTGTTTTTTTTTTTTTTTTCTTTGAGAGCTCTAAATTGAATATAAGCAAAGAAACAATCTCCCGTCAAAATCACAGCCACATAAACATGGGTAATTTCTCAGCATTATGGCAGTTTATAGAGGAAAAGGTGGGTCCATACTTTTAAAGTTTGTGCAATAGACAGACTGGGTTAATCTGCTATTTTGCTTATCCAGACCCAGGTTTGGCTTTCTGTTTCTTTTGGGACAGTTAATCCTATGAGGCGGGGCTGAATTTGCTAAAGATTACAGGAGCTACCTCATAACTACATGTATGGTATCCTTTCCCATGTTTTTTTTTGTACATTTCATTCTGGCAGGTGATTGTCCTCAACCATCCAGGTGAAATCCATGCTGGATATGCTCCTGTGTTGGATTGCCACACTGCCCATATTGCCTGCAAGTTTAGTGAACTGGTCGAGAAGATTGACCGTCGTAGTGGAAAGAAGTTGGAAGATCTTCCGAAGATGGTCAAGTCAGGTGACGCTGCCATCATCGTTTTGGAACCCTCCAAGCCAATGTGTGTTGAGCCGTTCAGTGAATATCCCCCCCTTGGTCGCTTTGCCGTGCGTGACATGAAGCAGACTGTAGCTGTTGGCGTTATTAAGGAAGTGGTAAAAAAGACTGACGCTGAAGGGAAGGTAACCAAAGCTGCTTCAAAAGCCCAGAAGAAAAAGTGAAATTCCATGCTCAATTTAAATTCCAAGAGACTCCGCTTACAAGTCAATCATGCTGTTGTAGTAGAATGGCTTCTTTGCTATTTGTTCCATCGCAAATCTGTCAGGAGGCGGAGACAGCCGTGCTGTTATCTTAATTTCTGAAGGATAAGTGTACTTGGTAGAAATAAATAAACAAAAGTTACAGTTAGTGGAGAATGTGATTGAGTCAGTAATTAGCTTTGTCTCCTTACTTGCAGGGAAAAGAAGCTACATTTTCATTTAGTTTCCTTTTTTTGTGGGTGTGGGAGATTCTTTTGTCATACATAAAAGCATTTTAACCTCATGATAGCCTCCTGCGCAGACACTCTTTGGGCTCGTCACGCAAACTTCCTAAGCAAGATTGCGTGATGAACCCAAAGAATGTCTGCATATGAGGCTAACCTTATGCAGACTTTTTCAATCTACAATACCCCCTCCCCCCACCACCACCATAAGTTCAAGAGTAATGGAAGGGTATATAGTATGTTCAAATGCAGGATTGCCACGGGAGGGGAAAAAGAATTCTTCAAGGTCTGGGAACAGTGGGGAAATTGAAACACATCACTGGTGATTTTAATGCCACTGAAAGCCGAAAGAATCATTTTGGGTCACTGTTCTCTTAACGATGTTTTGTTTGTTTGTTTGTTTGCTTTTAATTAAAATAATTTGTTAGATGACAAAGGTGGTGTCAAGGGCCGGTCAAGTGGAGGTTGGAGGCTACATGTACACAAGGCGAAAAAAATCGATCATCGAAAACCTAATCGATAAATCGATATTATTCGATACTCTTAAATCGATTAGTTAAAGTAATCGATAATTATCGATAAAATAATCACGCGATTTGGGATGGCATTGTAGATTTTGGTCGATTACTAGAACGAAACTGTTGAAAAAATCGTTCGCATCTCGAAATGAAAAAGCCGATCCGAAATCAAACGAAAAATAACCGTCTTGATAACGTGTGAGCAATGAAACCTGGAGATGGCGCAAAACACACGTGCCAGAATGTCACAGTTAGGAAACCTGTAACGCACGGTTTCAGAGGAAAATTCTTCCACCAGTATCAGCAAGTTGTTGAATATCACATGGACACCGAAGGATGATAAAATCTGTGGAATTAACCCAGTAAACAGAATACATCATTGCAAAAATACTGAAGAATATTGTTCCTGAAGAAAACTGCATTTGTGCCTTGAATGAAGTCAATTCAACCAAACTTTAAACCTCGTACTTCGTACGCAGACATGATGGCGGACGCGAGAGGAAAGTATACATAATCGATATTTTTCGATAGAAATTGATAGAAATCGCTTTAATTTCAAAAATCGATAGTTACAACTTGTGCTATCGATTTTAATCGAATTATCGATTTGTTGCGCCCAGATGTACATTGAACATTTCGTAGTTATTTATTTGGTCAGGGAAATTTTTTAGACTGCGAGCAGTCTTTTCCTTGAAAAAGCCTGCGAGCGTGACGGCTCACAGTCACGCTCACACGCTTAGTCGGGAAATTTGAAAAGCGATGTCTGTGGCTAAGCCTGTGTGACAGCCGCCTCTCCCCGGAAATAGAATCGGGAGAGACACAGATGTCTCTGTGTTTACTTTGATGTAAGAAACGTGAGCTTGTGATCTCATATCATGTGATATAAAAACATCTCCCATCTTTGTAGCTTGCGAAAGCCATCTGAGGCATGATTTACGGACGCCACTGCAGTGTAAGGTTTTCTTGTCAGGCCTTAAAATACAAGCGAACAGAGTGGAGAACTGGGACCTAATGAAAACCAGTTACAGAATACCGAAAGAGATCTTGTTCTTCTGCCGAGTTAGTGATCTAACGGGTCGTGCAATTGGCATTAAATGTTTTTATAACATCAGTAGCATCAGTAACAAGATGGCAAATTTACCCATGACTGGAGTCGAATTAGACTGTTCAGACACCTGATCAACTCGAACTGCAGGGACAGGTAAAAATACTGCCAGGCCAGGATTCATCATGTGTCGGAAACAACTCAGAAAAAAAATTGTTTCGCAACAACGTGATACAGTCACGCGTTAATTGAGAGGCCTTAAGCAACTTTTCACAGATCATTGCCAAAATTTTCTCAATAAACAAAGTTTATTCACTGTGTTTTAGACATGATGTGATCTTTATCTTTGATGGAACAGACGGAAAAGAAAAAGGTAGCCAGCAAACATGCCTGTACCAAAGAAGTGAAATACACGACCACTGCTAGTCTGTCCACAGACGGTTATTTTTTCTGGGAGTTTCTTTATTGCGTCGCTAAGCTTGCGATCTCCTTGAACTCAAAACAAAATAGAGGGACTGCCGTGGACAGACTGGACCACTCCGTCTCGAAGAAAAACTTCGCGCACGTTTAGTGAGAAAGTATGTTACAGGGAAAAAAAAATTCATGCATGCATATCCCGAGAAAAATATTCTCGATGCATGAAAGGGTTAAAAAAATAATTTATGCCTATGTCAAATCCAATCCTCCCCCCTCCCCCCACCAATACCCCGCTCAAAGGTCAAATGGCCTACCCAGGTCCACGCGCTGCCGGTGTGAATCGGGCAGCAGAAACCGCGAAGCTCTGGAACGAGTAAACTGCGAAGATGATGGATCGGGACGAAAATAGCTGAAGATGGTATACGCTTTCTTAATTCACTCGCTTACTCCTGGGCCATGTCGAGTGTTGTATTCTACGCCTTTTGTACACGAGCCTCCGGTAAGAAAGTTTATCAATTGGGTCAATTTTGTGCTCTTTTAGGCGGCGCACATGAGGACCAGCCGATAATGAGCTTGCATGTTGTTTGTCCAGCAATAACCAGTCTTGATGTTACTGATCCATACACTCGGCTTTGATATTTCAGGAGACAAATATACACTCAGACTTAAGATCCATGCCTTGTTGATTACTTATACATTTTATCGGTATTGGTGGAGTGGGTAGTTAGTACCGCCACTTTAGATTTCCCAAGGTTACAGTCCGGTGGAGGGGCGGGTGTGGGGGGTGGGGATAGATGTGTGCGGCCCCAAAGTTTTTGTCCTGTAGAAACTGAAATTGTTCGATTTCATATCGGTTTTGTCTTAATAGAGGAGTTCACACTCTAAGGGGCACTATAAGTAATCACGGCAAGATTACAAAGAAACAAAGCTTGGCAAGTGGTTTTTCTTCATATATCCATTCTGAGTTTCAATGTCGAGAAGAAACTTTTACTGTAAATAGACAAAACCCTTTTCTAAATATACTGGCATTTTTGAGTCGAATGAGCGAGACATTAGCCTAACTATGGGGCGCCGTTTGTAAATTTATTATTTAGACCGAATTTATGCCACTTTCCCCTTATTTATAAATAATTGGAAATGCCACAAAATTTGTTTATA